GGGGGAGGGGAGGCATAAGGATACCTACGCTCCCATCATTTGCCCATCTTAACAGTACATAGGAAATAATTTGAACTAGATATACATGAATTGGAATGGTCTAATTTATGAAAAACTGTGTCAAAGAGAAATCAGTAATAATTTTTTTCCATTTATTCATTACTATATTCTGTGCTAAGCACATTATATGCATTATCTCAGTGAACTCTTAGAACTACTGTTGTTCCCTTGTTACAAAAGGAAGAAACTCAAGTTTGGAGTAGTTGAGCAACTTACTTAAACCCATAGAGCTGGTAAATGGTGGCACTTTTTTGTGATACTAACTCAACCCTATCTGTCTCTCAACCACTTTGCTTCTCCTGTGTTTACTGTCATGAAACTTAGTTTTCTGAAAAGTTCTCCTCTGGAGTAGACAGTCAGAAAGGAATAGTCTCTGGGATAGAGTATAATGAGGAAGGGGCTATGAGAACCCTGCTCTGAAACTGTCAAGAGCAAGTCATTATCATGGTAAGGAGAGCTCGCAGAAACTTCTATTCACCTTTAAGAGACAATGTTAAACTGAAGGTTCACAGTATCAACTTTGAACAAATATTGAACTCTGAGTTTCAATCTTCTCACTCACGGAATCGGACTTCGGTTAAGGGCTCCCTGACATGGTTGGTATGAAGATAACGTGAGATAACAGGTAAAGATGTTTCCTTGTAAAATGAAAAGCTTTATATAAATGAAAGGTCTGCCATTATTTTAGGAGCTGAGAGTGAACCTATTAATGAATGTAAACTTAACATGGGTTTTCAAGTATATTTCCCAATGTACTTCTAATAAATGAAACTACCACTATTGCCATTTAGCCCACTCTTCTTCAACCAAGTAGAAGAGAAGTCATGCTTTCTTTTGTGGGATAGGTCATCAAAAAATTGACACGAGGAGATGATGCCAGGCCCCGAGTACATACCTATGCTGGGTAGAAGCTCTGGATGAGATCCCACCTTCTCCTCCACTAGGCCACCCGCAAGTGGCTCAGATGCTATGCCAACATGATTGTTTTTTGTGGCCGGCGCCGCAGAGATGAGCTCAGAGGGTACCAGAGTGGTTACTATCGAGCGTACACTGGTGGGGAGAGTACCGCCAGGTAAGCTGGGTCCTGCTGAGGTGGAGCCCGGGCCCACGGGGCTAGAGGTCATTTTTATCAGAGTGGGTGCTGGGGGTGTTGGGGTTTTACTGTCCAGCTCTGTGGATAACTGCTCTGTTCCCATGAGCCCTGGAGTTGTGGTCTCTAGCCCTTGGCCTTCAGTCTCTCCATCTGCACCATATTGCTCTTCCCCTTTCTCAAGAGAGCCTGTAACTTTCTTACATGCCTTGGTCAGCAAAATCTGGCCGATTTTGTCCACTTTTCCTTTGCCCTTACTAGATGAGACTGGGCTTCGCCGGTTGACAGAGGAGCCTGGACTATTGGTCAAAAGGGGAGAAACAATTGTGGTTGACTGTGAAGAGGGAAGAGTGCTCTGATCTGCTGAGGTGCTCACCTGAGGACTAGCCTCATCTGGATTCATTTCTTTCACTTGCTGGACAGGGGGATGAGGAGGGACAACTGGAGAAGTTGTACATGGGGGGGAAGGAAGCTGAACAGGGGTGGCTCGTGAGTTAAGGACCAAGGGTCGACCAGTCTGTATATTTGGAGCAGTACTACTGGAGGGGGCACTAGGTGGTACAGGAGCAGAAGAAAATTTTATGTTCTGAGGTATGTGTAAAGGGCCAACAACTGCAACGGAGGGAGGCATCAAGCCAGAGTTGGTTGTCAGTGGGGCTGCAGGAATTGTGCTTGGCTGTGATCCTTTCATAACCTGAATTATTGAGGATGAATTGATAAACACAGGTGTAATGAACTGAGGCCGGGCATTAGACTGAGCAGCTGACTGTCCCTCAGAAACCATAACCTTGCTACCCACATTGGGCATTGTGACGACTGTTGACATCAATGCAGACTGCAGGTGAGTCGGCAGAGCTGCTGATGTATTAGCTGAAGTCGTGATAGGATTGGAAGTAACGAAAACAGTTATCTGATTTGGGGGCAAGGGAGTAGAGATGGAGGAAGAGCTGACAGGTCTTGACATTACTGGAGGGATGCTTGGTGCAACATTAGAACTGACCTCACTCAATTCTGGATGCACAAGGGTTGAACACGGCTCATTAGTGTGAGGTAAATTTAGGGAATTAGAGGGTTCTTTAGAAGAAGACGGATCCTGCAGTGTGGGAATGACAGATGCTTTTTTCAGGTCCTCCCCAGAAACTACTGGAGGTGTTACTTCCAGATCTGTAAGCCCAGGGGGTTTAATGGTCACATTAGGAGCTCCAGAGTTATCAAGAAGTTGACTTAACGATGTGGGTGCTTCCCTCATAGCAGGAGACACCAAATTTTTGTTCTCTTCGACACCGGGAAGTTTGTTAGGATCCAAAGATTGCCCGTCCTTTTTAGACTGATCTTCAGAAACAACCATTTTAACTTCTTGGGCAGGGAGGGCTTTGAGCTCAATGTTTACCTGCTCCTTCCTACCCTGGGAATTCTGGCAATCGCTGTCCTGAGGCACATTCAAGCTCTCCTTGTTATCCTCCAGAACACCTCCCACTGCAGCCACAGGCATAGTAGGATTCTGAGGATTCAGCCCGCTGTTGTTAGGGAAGCTCCCAGGTACAGGGGGATTGGCCAAAGGAGTGGGACTGACCAATACATTTCTTGGCAACTCCACATTCTGCAACAGAGCTGTGTTTGTTTGAGAGGCCAGAGTAAGTTTAGGGGTTTTTGAATTTTGCCTCCCAGGACTTGGGGTAGTTTTCCTACTGGACCCAGGACTAGACCTGCGACTGTTGCTCGGACTAGCCCGTTTTGTTGCTCCAGAATTAGACTGCTTTCCAGAATTCACCACCACAGAATCTAATTTGTGAGTTTGTGGGGCAGCAAAATTGGAAGGATTATTCATGGTAAGATTCGAAGGTGCTTGCCCAATGGCCTTTAAAGTTGTTGGATTTAGGCCCTGCTGATCAAAGCCCCTGTTTAAATTTGGCCTAGGAGGTAAAGGAATATTAATCTGTGGGGGGAAGAGTCCTGCAATGGAGGCATTGAGTCTTTCTGGAGACAGACTGATTTCTGAAGGTTCTGTGCTAGGAGGGCGATTGTTGGGTGTCTGAGGATAGTAGGGTCTGGGGCTGGCTCTGTTCGGTGTTTTAGGCCTAGATGTTTGGGTTGGAGCAGCCACATTTGGAAAATGGTGGCCATGAGAGCTGGGCAGGGAATTTACAGGGGGTTGCTGGGGAGTTGCACCTTGAGTTGCAGAAAGGGGTGATGGTCCAGGTTTTGGCCCTGTCATCATTAACTGATTCTGGGAAACTACTAAATGTGAAGGCATGTTATTTGGGCCTCCTGAGACAGATGGTACTTCACTGCCACTTGCTTCAGGGAGCGAGGACATTTCTCCCAGTGGTGAGCTAGAAGGATTCTGGGAGTTCTCCTGGTATACCATTTTCCTTGAATTGCTTCCCAAAGGAGTATTCACAGGTATTGGCATTCTTTGCTTATCAGGTGATGGTGGCACGGAAGCAGGTCCTTGCAAACTGACCATAACAGGCACGCTGCCGCTCTGTTGCATGGGCATTCTCTGGGAGTCTGGGTTCAGGGGGCCCCGTGGGGGGTGGACACTTTGGGAGACCGGAAGCCTAACTGATTTGGGGTCCTGCTGCATCATGAGCATCATCATCATTTGTTGTTGTTGTTGTTGCTGCTGCTGCTGCTGCTGCTGCTGCTGCGACTGTGGCTGACTGGGAGGTGGCGGCTGCTGCTGTGGTGGCGGCAGTTGTGGCTGCGGCTGCTGCTGTGGTGGCTGTGGCGGGGGTGCCACATGCTGCATGAGCTGAGGAGGCATCTGCTGAAGTGGCCTCTGTTCAACTGGTTGAGAAGGATAACCTAAAACAAGCCCCCAAAATCAGGGAAGTTAGATTTTCGGCAGGAAAAGCAACTTTTAGAGTATAGCCAAGCAATACTCATCTAGGTGGCCCAGACAGTGCACAAACAGCTTAGGCATGCCCACTGCCAGGGGGGCAGGAGCAGCTCCTCATTATCCGACATAAGCAAAGGGGCACACAGCTTAAGGAAGCAAAAAGCAAAGCATCAAGAACCTGGAGCTCCTTAGTCTTCAAGGTCTGAATGAGGCACTATTGTACTAAGACTGTAATAGACAGACACTCTGTGCTATGCAATGAAAGTGGCTGAGTCTATCCCAGCCAAACATTCAGGTGAAATGAGAAAAATTCCCATCAATAGCAAGTAGCTGACCACCCAGCACTGGGGTCTCATGTGGGAATAATAAATATTTCACTGTACTTGTGAATGAAGTAAGGCATTTAGGACTCACTTTTTCTGTTATCAAGATTAATTTTTTAAGGTGTGATTTTGTGAAAACAACAGCATCAAAGATAGGCTTTTTATTCTTTCAACAGAAGCAAATATACAATTCTAGGATTCAATGCCTTAAGAGGGATTTAAAATGACGCCAATCCACTGGCTCCATACATCATGCTGCATCCTTCAGGCTCAATCCTTTGGGGAACCCAAATGAACTAAACTGTCCCTCTGATGTAGTTCAATTTAATAAAGAGCAGGAGCTAACAGAAGCTGATATACACATTGAAAATAAATTGAGGATACTGAAGATTTTTTTATGGATATTAATTTCCATTTACTTTCTTACATGTTAAAACTCAATTTGGAGAAATATTTTCTATGAATCCACAAAGGAAGAATAATAAGCCAGAAACATCGCCCTCAGGAATAAAAAATAATTTTGGGAAAAGAACTGAGGGACAATGCCTTATAGATTTTCAGAAGGCAACAGTTCAAATGATTCCTTCTTTTGTGAAGCTTTTACTTGACATTTTAGAACCAGAGCTTTACACAATCAGCAGAAAGGAAAAATCATTAACTAAGAATAAAGGTAGTTCCATGGGAAAAAGTGGGGATATAGCTGGGATACAATTTCACAAACTAGATTTATTCCATTGTTGCATAAAAATGCATAAGGGAAGTTTTAAGAAGGCGCAGGAATAAAAACAGTTGGCTCTGGCAGTTGGCAGAAATGATGGTTCATGATTTTCACAGAGGAGCTACCAAATGCTGCTGATCCACAGGGTCAGACCCTGTGGTCAACCCTAATTAATGTCTTCTGGCCAAAGATTACCATGGCACCAATGAGTACAATGTACAGAATTCAGTTTTAGAGATTTTTTAAAAAATCCTTTTCTATTTCAGGCCCAAGTCACTTCTTTACAATTATAGAGCCAACAATAATATGGCACTTCTACAGGTTTAACTCAGGTTCCCATATTAAGAAAATTGTCATTTCTGTAGAAGCCCACGGTTGTTGGGCTATGTCACAAATGTCTTTTATCTTTAAATCAGCCCACCAGGTAGCACAATAAATACCAAAGACAGCAGAGCAGATAATACAGCAATTTTTCAAAAGTTACAGCTGAGGGCATGGCTGCTATAAAGGTTCCAGAAGCTGGAGGCAGCAGTCCAAAGGGCACTAACGTTAAGAAGACAGATTAGGGTTGCCGTCACATAATGGTAGAGAACGAAAGCCAAAACACACATAGTGTCTATAACATAACCCAAACCCATATTTATTAATCAAGGGTTGCAACTCATATGCCTTTAGGCACCAGGCCAGTAGTGAAGAACAGAAGTGGTCTGGTATAAGACAGTAGTAGTCCTGTGTACAGAGCCAAACTGCAGAATGAATGTTCTATCTAAAGGCATCTAAATCCAGGTTTTTATCTGGTTTAAGACACTGCATGATAGTTCAAACACATGATAGGCCAAATTCATCCTGTAGGTTCCTACTTTTTAAACTCTAGAAAGGAAGCAATGATGTGTGCAAGGACCTCTGGGATTCATATAGGAATTCACATGTGTTTGAGGGAAGAAGGTATCTTCCTATTCATAATGTCATCTAGATATACCTGCCAAGACTGGTGACCTCCCTGCCTCAATTGCTGCAACTCACTGACTGGAATTGTGGTGTTCCCAAACAATTTGTAATAAATAGCATGTAGTATTGACATCATGGTGTATTTACTTTTTTTTTTTTTTTT